ATCACTTAAATTAATTTATTTTTAAAAAATATATTTATTAACTTATTTGTAAAAAAATTAGATAAAAAAATTTAAAATTATATTATTTTAATAAATTTCTAGATTTTTGCACAAGGAAAATTCAACTACAGAACTCTATCTTTTAAAAAAAGAGGAAAAATCTTATTTTCAGCTTTTAGTGATGAGACAAAAACCCATGGCTCGCCCTGCAACTTACTAAGTACGAGGATTTTTGCTCCTTACCAAATAACATGAGGATTTTTGCTCTCCCAAATTATACGATTTAAGGAAATAAGGCCAAAATTTACAGTAGGTAGGAACACTGGTGGCCGTTCTCCCTCCGTCGGGTTATGCCTTATCCGTATCTATGTTTGTTAACATGGAGACGTATTAGTATTTGTAGCCCATTTATAATTAAATAATTAATAAATTATAATAAAAAAATTATTTACAAATAAATTTTATTCATTACATTTATATAAAATTTTAATTATTTATCTCTTTTAATTATTGAAATTTGTCATATTTTTTTAGGTAAAAAAATTATATTTAATAAATATAATAAATTTTAACTATTGAAAATAAAAAAATAAAAAATTATAATTTTATATAAATATAATATATAAAATTTATATATGAATAAATTTTTACTCAATTAAAATAAATTAATCTTTTTAATTGTTAATGAGAGCCACACATGTTGACGTGTTTTTACATAGTTAACGGAGATACTAATAACGTCATGTCACATTACATGAAAATTTTTTTTGAACCCCAATCACTGGTCATAGTCACATAATAAATGTTAAGGCTTTGCTTGGCGCCATCTTCTTAGTCGACTTCTGACAAAGGACAATCTAATAAGTAGATTTTATCTCAAGATTTCAAATGTGTTTTTTGTGGTGCAAGTGCTGAGAGTGTTGATCATGTGTTTGCCACATGTAAAGTTGTAAACCTTGTAAACGGGTGGGTTAAGTCAGGTTCAGGTCAAATCAATTTGGGTAATAAGTTATATGTGTTGGGTTATAAATGAATCGTGGGTTGAAAAAGTTTAATTTTAATCAGATTTTAATGAGTTACGGGTTAATCCGTGAATTGATTTTATTTTCATTCTTTATAATTATTTTTTATTAATTTTATTATATACAAATAAAATTGTATAAATTTAAATTTAATTAAAATATTATTATTATTAACACTGAATACTTTATAGTTTCAATCACAAATATTTAAATTAAAAAGAGTTATAAATAATAATAAATTGATTAACAATAAAAATATTAAACGTAAAATTTTAATTTTATAATCATGTTGAAACATTATCAAGTAGTTTAATCTATTTTTTTAATGATGAAATTGCTCTTCTAAGAACATCTTTTACTAAGTTATTATGTTTATGTCCTAACATGACATCTTTTAATATTTTTAGTTGCATTATCATTTCATTCATGATACTTGGGTTATTGTTAATACTAAAAAAAAAAAATGATACTTGAGTAATTAGATTAAACTTATCATAATTTCTTTTTCTTTCTCTAAAAATTAAGGAGTATGAATTAATGAAAGGAGTTATGAATAGGAAAATTAATTAAGGATAATAAGTATAATATTTAAAAATAATAATAAAAAAATAAAATAAACGGATCAACCCGTCAGCCCGCGAATTAACCTTAACCCGACCTGTGCCTCATACGGGTTGATAATATAAGTTATCTACGAGTTACGGATTGAAATATATAAACTTTAACCTGTTTTTTACAAATCGAGTTAAAATTGAGTTGACAAATCGAATGGATTTTTGCCAAGTCTAGCAACATGCATTGCAACTCAAAGACTTTGGATGCGCATCGCTGTGTGGGTGGACTAAAGTTTAATTCCCTTATATCCTCTTTCCTCCTCCCCCAGTGGCCCAATTTCCCTCGGTTCAAAAAAAAAAAAACAAAAAGACTTTGGATGTGCATCCGTTGCTGATGGAGGTATTCTTTTACCATCACACACACTGCCTATCAAAACCTCATTCAGCTAGCTTTTGGTTTAAGACTTTAAGTGGATGTTCATCTTCGAATTGCTGGTATATATGTCACACTTCTTACTACGACCTGGTCCATTTGGCTTTCCATTAATCCAATCATCTATACAGGTTCCTCCTTGGAAGAAGACAGAATTTTCCAAGTATCAGTTCAAACAAAGACTTTCAGTTTTATTAAGGGAAAATCTGATTTTGCTACATTTAGCTATATACAGTGAGTGGTGCTTGTCTCATAAACTATGTGACCTCGAACAGTAATTGCACCTCAAATTTAAACAGTTTTGCACTCCCTTCCTATACTGCTGTTATTCTTCATAATGATTCTTTTGTAACTTGTAGGGATAAACAATGGATTCCCATTAATTCACTTTTATTTTATTTACAAAAATAGAAATTTGAAGTGTGTTGTAGTTCTATCTAGCCAAGTTATCAATACCATCTCATATCTATAGGCATGATCGATACGTATTAGTTTTTGAAGTTGGTCAAAATGATACAAGATAAAATTTCATTTTTGTTAAAATTCAAATGATTCACTCAAAATTTGATATATTGGTCGAAATCTGGTGTATTGATTAGTACATTGAAATTTCGATCGATACACACAGTATATCCAAATTAAAAAAAAAAAAAAAAGACTCCTTAGCCCAAAACAAAGTTGTTTTGGCTGAGGGCTTCTTAATTACCCTTACAATTTCAAATTGCAGTGTTATCTTGTCATCCTCTGATCCTTGACACTCCTCATCGGTGGCGCAGGCATGCAGCTACCGCTCTCTCTTCCTGTTTCACAAATTGTGCGCCTTAGATTTTGGACTTGGAGAGCGATTGTGAGTTAGGGATTGTAATTTTAGATTGTAATTTCTGCAATTTCATATTGCAGTTTCCAGTTTCGCCGATAGTCCAGTCCAACCGCTGCTCTCTCTTCTTAATTCGTGGGATAGGGGCTAGATCTCGAATCTTGATTACCCTTGCAATTTTAGGTTTGTGGGCTAGGGGTTGTGTGTAAATGGCTAAATGCAAAGGGAGAAAGAAAATCATTCAAGGGAGAAAGAATCTTGTCTTATTGCAGAAGGGATGTATCTGGAATATATAGGGCGTTTTATATTTGGGGAGAGGAGGAACCAATTCACGTGGTGTGGCTGGGGGGTTATGTTGACGTGGTGGGTGTTGATTGGTTAGAATAGAGTGCTTTGGGTGTGGAAGGTTTAGATTAATTAATTGATAAAATGTAATATTTATTATTAATTAATAATTATTTTAATAAATCTTCCTATGTAATATATGTTATAATTATTTTTTTAAAATAAAAAAATATATAAAAAAATATATTGTAAGGCATTTTAAAATAAATAAGGAAATTTAAATACCTTAAATTAAAAATTAAATATATTAAAAATTAATTAATATTTCATCTATTATAAAATATTTATCTTTTTTTTATAAAAATATATATTTTAGCGATGAATTTGATTAAATATATTAAAAATTAATTAATATTTCATCTATTATAAAATATTTCCTTTTTTTTTATAAAAATATATATTTTAGCGATGAATTTGAAATAGTACATGAAAAATTACGATATCCGGTATGTACCATTTTAGTAGCAAAATTGATATGTATGTCAGTACGATATTGACAATTTTGATATCTAGTTTAATTATTAAAAATTATTGATAAAATAATTAATATTTTTATTTAATAATTTAACATCAATTTATATGTCGATATTTTCAAACACTTTTTTTAAAAAATATATAAAATTATTTACATATTAATTGGGGGAAGAGGAAAATGAGTTTCATAAAATTTAAGGACAATGATATAGAGGACAAATAAAGGGAACAAATTTTTGGGACCAATGACATGGCAAGCCACGTTGTTAATATATTAATTTTAAAAAATTTAAATTAAGTTATGTTTTACTGTTTATCTTCTACCTCCTTTCTGGTTTTTTTTTTTCTTTCCAAATCTCTTATCTTTCTCTCTCATCTCCCCATTTTTTGCCAAGCTCCTCCTCCAGTGAACTTAGTTGAACTCAAGGACCAGGTTCAACCCTATCCTAGCAATCAAAATCCCATAGCCATGGTTTTAAAATTTCAAAAAAGAAAAAAAAAAAAAGAACAAGAAAAACTAAACCCTAACTGTGTGGTAAAATTGAACCCCAACTGGTAGAAATTTAAAATTTAAAATTAGTCTTTACAGGGGATGAGAGAAATAACTACAGAGGATGAAGATTTGAAAGACAAAGGATGGAGATTTAGAAGAAAGAATTTGGATTTGGATGAACCCAAAACAAGAAAAAGATTGAAAAAACATGAGGAGAAGTGGAAAGGAGGTGAGACGCCTGCCACCTCAAATTCATCCTGTGAATTCGTTCCCCTTTTTTGACTTTCTTATCATTATTCAAAATTTAAACACATGACTCATAAGAGATGAGCGATTCTAACACAGGATT